TACTAACTACCTTAAACCAGTTTCTTTAATTAAGGTAAAATGTGATGAGATTATAACCATACTTGATTGACTAGTAAAACACGGTGATCAAAGACCGCGAAATGGTATGACATTCGTCACCCGTAGACCTGCAGGTCCCGCTGTAGCTAGCAACAATGTGTAAGATGGTCAATCCCGTATAGATCTATACACAAATTCACGCTCTCCCTCCAGGAGACTCTGGTTACAAAACGTGACACAGCGGTACATTGCCGCGCCATGAAGTAGGAGCTCACATTAATGTTATCTTGTTCTTGTATTAGTGTAGTATGTTCCTTCTGTTCTAGTGAATAGTATGTTCTCTCTGTTCTAGTGTATAATATGTTCTCTCTGTTCTAGTGTATAGTATGTTCTCTCTGTTCTAGTGTATAGTATGTTCTCTCTCTTCTAGTATATAGTATGTTTGAACTGACTCATATATGAACTGACCCTTAAGGGTGGAGTTCACGGCCATCCAAGAGATTACGGCCGTAATCTCTAGTTTACGACCGTAAACTCCAAGTGATGGAGTTTCCCGGCTTGAATGCTGCACAATTAACTCTCGTAGATACTTCCTAACACTTAATCCTTGAATGTACTACGCTTAGAACACTCAAACAGACCTTTAACAATGCTAAAAGATAGCAGAAACAAGTCTGACTCTTGATTGAATTGAATGGCTTTACAAGATAGAAATTTCGTGTTGTCACATCATCCCCCCGTTAGAGAGAATTTTGTCCCGAAATTAGAGTTTAAGCCATTACAAATAACTAATTAAAAATATGAGGATATTTCTGTTTCATTTGATCCTCGCGCTCCCAAGTGAATTCATGTCCTCGCTTAGCATTTCAGCAAACCTTAACTATCGGGATACGGCTTTGCTTCGTTTGCTTGACCTCTCGGTCCATGATCTCTACTGGTTCTTCCACGAAGTTGAGGCTCTCCTTGCTCGATCTTGTCAAGTGGGATTACAAGAGTCTCGTCGGACAGACACTTTTTCATGTTCGAAACGCGGAAAGTAGGATGTACGTTACTAAGTTTGCGAGGAAGTTTGAGTTTGTAAGCTACAGGGCCGATTCTAGCGAGAATCCCGAAAGGCCCTACGTATCTTGGATTTATCTTTCCACGCTTTCCAAAGCGTATCAAGCCCTTCCAGGGTGAGACCTTCAATAGAACATGGTCACCAACCTGGAATTCCAAAGGTTTCCTTCTCTTGACTGCGTAGCTTTTCTGTCGGTCTCTAGAGGCTTTCAATTGTTCACGAATCCGAACGATCTTCTCTGTCGTTTCCTGAATGATCTCTGGACCTATGAGAGTGCTGTCAGGAACTTGTCCTTTAGCTAACTGTGTGTCACCCACCTCAGCCCAGCACAGAGGGGATCTGCACTTTCGGCCATAGAGGGCTTCAAATGGAGCAGCCTTTATGCTCGTGTGATAACTGTTATTATAGGAGAACTCGACAAGGGGTAAATGAGTATCCCATGCCTTCCCAAAGTCTATCACACAGGCTCGCAATATATCTTCCAAGGTTTGAATAGTCCTCTCACTTTGTCCGTCGGTTTGCGGATGGTAGGCTATACTCATGTCCAGCGTAGTTCCTAGGGAACCTTGTAGCGACTTCCAGAACCTAGAAGTGAATCTACTATCTCTATCAGATATAATGGATATGGGAACACCATGCAGACGTACAATCTCCCTAATGTAGGTTCTTTTTAGTTTCTTCATCTTGTCAGTTTCTTTGATAGGCAGGAAGTGTGCGGACTTTGTTAACCTGTCTACGATCACCCATATGGTATCGAGACCACCCGATGTCTTGGGAAACTTGGTTATGAAGTCCATCGTGATCCGCTCCCACTTCCATTCAGGTATCTCCAGCTGTTGTAGTAAACCTGAGGGTTTCTGGTATTTGACCATAACCTTGGCGCAAATAAGACACTTGATCACGAAGGTATCAATCTCCACTTTCATATTAGTCCACCAGTATAACTTTTTGAGATACAGATACATCTTATCTGAACCTGGGTGGACGGAATATCGAGTGTTGTGCGCTTCGGTCATGACCAAGTCTCTGAAACCACCATGTTTCGGTGTCCAGATCCGATCCATGAGGTATAAGGCTCCGCCACCCTTGACTTGTAAGTTTTTATCCATCCCTCTCAGGGATTCACCTGCCACATTTTCAGGTTTCAAGGCTTCAAGTTGAGCCTCCTTAATTTGTGTGGACAAGTGTGAATGGATAGTCATAGTCAATGATTTGACTCTACGACCAGAGTATTCTTTCCGACTTAGGGCGTCAGCTACTACGTTGGCCACTACTAGAAAACAACCTTTTACGACACACAATGCGGGTCGTAAAACGCTCAAACGATGCGTAAATGCGTGTCAAGGAAGGCCCTGTCATAAAGAAGACGACACACATTTGCGTGTCGTAACACATTAAAAATCTCATAATACAAAATAAAATACCATAAATAACAAAGATAATTCATTTCACTAATATGTTATAAATAAATACAAATAATTATTCCAATAGTGAGTAAATGTTATAAAAAAAATGAACTCAAGAGAAGCAGAATTTATATACAATTGCATTATCTAGCTTACTATGTGGCAACAAATCTCCGTGTGCTTGCTTTTGCTTGAGTCTCGTTTCCTCCAAAGCTTCTAGCCATGCCAAAGTATGATATCTTTGGGTTCATGTCCAAATCAAGTAAAACATTGCTAGCTTAAATTCATCAAGTCCTTGGCGTGAAGTCTAAGATAGAAGCTTAACTGCAATCTCCAATCCTTCTAGCAGACCCTAAAGATCATTATTGGCCATGTAGCAGGATCAACCTGCCAAAATTAGATAAGTTAAGAATATGCAACAAGATTGGTGAAAAGACATAAATGCCCCTACCTTGTATTCAACAGTAGCAACAGCAAGAAGATTTCCTTTCTTGTTGAACCTCAACCGTGGAAAAATCTGTAATAATCATTTAAATATGATATATTAGATATAATAAAATATTGTGGAAATGTGTGTTATGTTGGCAATGAAGCTCCTTCTGTTGGTCGTATTTATTCCAGCCAGATTCGGTGAAACACAAATGATTTCCATCAGTATAGGTATGGCCTAACATCATTACCAACAACCACAAAAAAATATATAAACACATCCAACAAAATGGAACCATCAAATAACAAATGATAATGGAAATGAAACAGGGGCATGCCTGCTTAAAGATGGTGCTTGTTCACGAACCCTCGAGTCCAAGTAATAAAAGCTTTTGAATCTTTTCGGGCTCAAAGTAATTTGGAACAGTTGTGTAATTGATGGCTTCATCCCTTTCTCTTTGTGGCTGACCTTGTGGCACAGGAAACGAGAACAACATATGTAAATATCATACATTACATAATAACAAAAAACCATTTTATCCACCATACTTTTTTTACAACATATGTAAATATCATACATTACATAATAATAATAGATAATAGATAATATATAATAATACAATACATACCTTTTTCTAATTATTTCCCTTGATATTATTCTGACCTTCTTCCTCATAACGCCCATCATCATAAACCCAGAAATGTGTGTCTTAAGGACATTGCACACTTGCCATCTGAACAAATCAATACAACAAATGTTAAATAAATTTCCATATCACTCACCAAATAACTGTAACAAAAATACTATCTAACCTACCTTCAGCACTTTCAGCTCAAGTTTTGTGATTTCTCTTCCATCATGTAAACTTCTGTGTTTCCATTGCTTGCTGTCGGACTAAGTTTCCCAGTGAGAAGAAAAATTCAGAGTACAATGTTGTAATAGAAAACAAAAAATGAAAGGTTGAGGATGCTAATCATTCTATAATATGAAATTATAGAAATGGTCCCTGGATTGTAATATGAAATTACAGAAATGGTCCATGGATTAATGGAATAGTAACATGTTTTTAGTTCCCTGGATTAATAACTACATTTTTGGTCCATGTAGTTTTAAATTTCAGTAACGATAGATTTACCCAATATAGTTTTTTATTTCAATAATGTATTTCATTCCATGCAGTTTATAATTTATATCAATTAGATTTTTGGTCCCTGTAGTTGTTAATTTAAGATAGGTATAGTTTTAGTCCCTATACTATAGTTTTGAATATGTAGATTTAATCCCTTTGATTTTTAGTTTCGATAACTACAGTTCCAGTCCTTATAATTAATAACTTGCATTAGTTACAATTTTGGTCCCTGTGATCAAGGTACCCCTACTAGTTATAACTTTCATTAGTTACAATTTTGGTCCGTGTAATCAGGGTACCCCTACTACTTATAACTTGCATCAGTTACGCGAGAGTATACTTAAGGCATGGAAAAATTCCGAAGCAGTAACAACCTGATGTTGATGCTTACAAGTGTAAAAGGTATACATATGAACGAAAAGCATGCAGATACCTGGACATAAAAGAACATAGGACGGTTTGGCACAGGCCAGGGAAAATCGATTCCTGGTGATTGTCTCTCATTGATTGTCACTCCATTTTGGAAAAACTATTGGAAGGAAACTCTGAAAGTGATGGATGCATCTGATACTGAACCTGTAAAGTAGAGGGAAAAAAGGCATCTAAGGCCTAGTTCCAAAATATACTAAAAGAGTTAGGCTCCTAAAATAACTCAAAAAAGTTTAAAAAACTAAATATTCCAAAAACACCCCTGGACTCTTTTTGTCCCAGAATCTGAATTAAGCCAACAACAGAATCTAAAATTTGCTAACCGAGGATCTCCGGAACCAACACATGTGCAATAGACATCAGCACTCTGAGATATCTCTCATTCTGTAGCGCACTTCATTTCTTTATACTTTTTCTCGTCACTGCTGGAAAATTCCCCTGTGTAAGTTAGCAAATAAATATCTGTCATCTCAATCCACCAACCATAATTTTGAAAAATTACACAAACAAGTCGGGAAGATCAGGCCAGGTGTATAAATAACATTAATGGTGCTAGGAAAAGAAAACAATGTCGATAACACAGGAATGAGATTTGACAAACAAGCAAGAACCGCATTAGCATTTGTAACCCTAAGAGCCGATGGAGAGCGTGAGTTCATGTTCTTCCGCCATCCAAGTGCCAATATGCTTCTCACGGAGGCAGAACTCGATACAGATTTGATCCAAAAGGTACATTCAATCATCCATTTTTGATGGCTGTATATTTAGAAAGATTAAATTGCGACCCTTTTTTGTTATTTAACCAATCGACAATCTTTCACTACGGATCCATTAGTTTGATTGAAGATCCATGCAAATCATCTCACTTAGCTGCATTGAAAATTGCTAAAAAAGCAGGAAGCATTCTTTCATATGATCCTAATTTGAGACTACCTTTGTGGCCATCACCTGAGGCTGCTCGAAAAGGCATCCTGAGCATTTGGGATTAAGCAGATGTTATAAAGGTGCAAAATTTCATAGTGAGTTGACTTTTTTGACTTAAACCTTTTGATGGGTTATTGACTTTTCGGGAAATTACAGATTAGTGAAGATGAAATTGTGTTCTTGACTGAGGTGATGATCCCTATGATGACAAAGTTGTCTTGACCAAACTTTTTCACCCAAATCTCAAGTTGTTGATAGTCACAGAAGGTCCTAATGGTTGCAGATACTACACAAAGGTTATTTTTGTAAATTTAATACGATTGTTGGATTATATTAATTGATATCAATTTGTGAGTTTTATTTTCAGGATTTTCATGGGAAAGTTGGTGGTGTTAAGGTGAAGTGTGTTGATACAACCGGTACAGGTGATCCTTTTGTTGGAGGATTCTTCTCAATTTGGCCAAAAATGCTCAATTATTTACGGTTAAACATTTTAAAAAATTGGCTGAAAAATCATTTTCTGAATATATTGATTTTTAAAAGATTTATGTCATGCCCCATTTTAGGATGAAAAGAAGCTAAGAGATGCATTGAGGTTTGCAAATATCTGTGGGGCCATTACAGTTACAGAGAGAGGAGCGATTCCATCACTGCCTTCCAAGGAAGTTGTTCATAAGAAGTTGGAGGAATCCGAAAATAAATAACTTGTGTCATTTTTTTGGTTTGAAATTAGAAGAAATGATTATTAAACTATCTTCTACAAGGTAGAATATACTAGAGAAAAAATATGAACAAAAAAACAGAATTTGTTCATTATATACTTATATTTATGTATTGTACCTTTGCTTGTAGTTCCTGAATTTGTTCATTATATACTTGCATCTGAAACACCAACAATTCAAGTCAAAATAAATCAAAGAATTTCAAGCTCAGTTGAATGAAAATTCGTATTTGAGAGTCAACTTCTTATTCTTTTCTGTGATAAAAGTCAACCTTTCGAGCACGAATGATGGATACACTCCTCTCTAGCTGTTGTTCAAGCTTTTGTAGTTCATCAATGGTGCTTGATCCCAGACCTTCTCCTAAAAATTTCCTGTAATAAAGATTTAAGATGTTAGGATCGATGATTTTATTATAGCTTTAATATAGAACCAAAAATCTTAGTTTCATAACTATATGTGTGGCGACTTAAAGTTCAATTAACATATTCAGAACATGAAATTCTAACCTTTTAGTTATTTCCAGGAGTTCTATCTTCTTTGCCATGCTTTCTGTTTCATTCTTCAAATGTTGCCACTGAACACAATTAAGGACAATAAGTAACACTTCCAAAAAGCATCCTTTCATTCTAGTGGTAAAATCTTTTTTATGATTAGCAACCCTCTTCATGCAAGACGCTTTGATCTTCCAGGAGCAGCAGTTGTGATCTTCTCCCACCTCAAGGCTGAATCATCGATTGTTGCAGAGGCCAAGGAGAAGTGAGAGCGTTTTCGTTCTTGAAAAAAACCCTCCTGCGTTTTTGTTCTTGAAAAAAACCCTCATGGGTGAGCACTTGTGAGGTCGAGAGCATAAAAGCCTTAGTTCTTTGATATCGGGGACAAGAAAAACCTTAAAATCGCCGACGTTTCGAGTTTGAGGAGTCGTAGACCCCCAATCGCCGACTCCATGAAAGATATTGTTAGGTTCGATTTTTGGGGAAGGCGGGGTACTTGAATTTTTTGGGGATTTGGTTTCCCCCGTTAGTTGCATCAAAGAGGGACGCGCGTATTAAAATTTTATAAAATGACATATCTACACGACACCCACTTAAATTTAGGTGCCTTACGTGTTTTTAATTTTTTTTCGTTGGACATTAATTTTAGGGAACGCACAAATGCGTATCCTCTATCCTTCAAATTTTGCAAAACTAACATTATTTTTTAGGGCACGCACAAATGCGTGTCCTCTATCAGCGCGTGTCATTGTTTGCACGTCATTAAAGGGCTGTTTTCTAGTAGTGGCTTTACCGGGATGACAACGAATTTCGCATTCGTAGTCACTGAGTAGATCGACCCACCGTCGTTGTCTCATGTTGAGCTCCTTCTGGTCGAATATATGATGAAGGCTTTTGTGGTCTGTAAAGATAGTGCTTTTTGTACCATACAGGTAGTGTCTCCAGATCTTCAGAGGAAATATCACTGCTCCTAACTCAAGATCATGCGTGGTGTAGTTGACTTCGTGTGTCTTTAGCTGTCTTGAGGCATAGGAGATGACCTTACCTCGTTGCATAAGAACACAGCCAAGCCCTTGGTTGGATGCATCGCAATAAACCACAAAGTCTTCTATCCCTTCTGGGAGGGGTAGTATCGGTGCGCTACATAAGGACCGCTTTAGTGTTTGGAACGCCTTTTCTTGTTTCTCTTCCCAGTCAAAGGCCACGCCTTTCTGGGTCAATGTAGTAAGCGGTTTCGCGATCTGAGAGAAGTTCTGAATGAACTTGCGATAGTAGCCAGCGAGGCCTAGAAATTGACGAATTTTTGTAGGCGTCTTCGGTGTTGACCATTTCTCAATGGCCTTAATTTTGGAAGGGTCCACGTGAATTCCCTCTTCGTTGACCACGTGACCCAAGAATTCGACTCTTCGAATCCAAAATTCGCATTTAGAGAACTTCGCATAGAGCTTCTCCAATCGTAGTGTTTCTAAGACCTGACGTAGATGTTGACTATGCTCCTCCTTACTTTGAGAGTAGATAAGTATGTCATCGATGAATACAATGACGAACTGTTCCAAGTAAGGACGACACACCCTATTCATTTAGTCCACGAATACTACGGGCGCATTGGTCAATCCGTATGGCATCACTACAAACTCGTAGTGTCCATAACGAGTTCGGAAGGCTGTCTTCGGAACATCCTCCTCTAACACTCGTAACTGGTGATACCTGGATCTCAGATCAATCTTTGAAAAGTAATTCGCTCCTTGCAGTTGGTCGAACAAGTCGTCTATGCGAGGCAGAGGGTAACGATTCTTGATGGTAAGCTTGTTTAGTTCCCGGTAGTCGATGCACATACGGAATGGTCCGTCTTTCTTTTTCACGAACAAGACCGGTGCTCCCCAGGTTGAGAAGCTTCGTCTAATAAAGCCCTTGCTGAGCAGTTCGTTAAGTTGAGCGGATAGCTCCTGCATCTCAGTTGGTGCTAGGCGATAGGGCGATTTGGCTACTGGGGTAGCCCCTGGAAGTAAGTCGATTCTGAACTCGACTTGATGCTGTGGAGGTAATCCTAGTAGTTCTTCTGGAAAGATGTGGGGAAAGTCGCGTACCTCTAGGATGTTCTTTATGTCATTCGTCTCTTGGCTCACATCGACAACATGAGCAAGGAATGCATGACATTCCTTTCGTAAGTACTTCTGGGCTTGTATGCTCGAGATGATACGAAGGTTCGTGCCTGGTTTGTCGCCATAGATAACTAGGGTTTCACTAGACGGTAGATTTAGACGAACGGCTTTCTCATAACACATGATGTCGGCACGATGAGAACTCAACCAATCCATGTCGATAATGACGTCGAAACTTTTAATTGACACCGGCATGAGGTTGATTGGAAATGAATGGTTATCTAGAGTTAAGGTACATCCTATGTATATGCAGCTAGTGCTCTCAGTCTTTCCGTTAGCCATTTCTACAGTGAATGGTTCTTTAAGTGCACGTGATTGTTGTTTAAGTAAGTGAGCAAATTTCTGGTTCACGAACTCCTCTCCGCTCCACTATCAAACAATATGCATGCATATGATTTATCGAGGAGAAACGTACCAGTGACCACTGTAGGGTCTTTTACCGCTTCCTCGTGGCCTATAGCCAAAAACTCTTCCCACTCAGCCCGCTATAAGGGTCGAAGACCAGTTGTAATATGTCGAAGACCTAAGTTTATTTTACAAGGCATTTTATGTAACGAAGCGTACTGTTTAGTCCTTGTAATTTTTTGTGTGCTTTCTCGTTTCCTATAAATAGGGACATTACTTAGAGTTAGAGAATATTCTTTGTACAACTTGTCTATTTTCTCTCTGTAACAGTTGAAAGCATATCAGAGCTGAAACCAGATCATATTTACATCGTGTGTTCAATCTACATTCGTTTAACTCTGATTTGATTCATATTTGATTCCACACTTCATCAATTGGTATCAGAGGAGGAATCATGATCTGAGATCTAATTTTCACTCTGATTCAAAAGGTTTTTGAATCAAATTTCTGGTTCAAAAAGTTCCGCACCTTTTGACGTGAAAAAGTGTTCTAGATCTTCAGTTGTGATTTGATTCTGCAACTAATTTGTTGAATCGAGTATTCTACTTGATATTTCTGTTCAATTCAGCAATTTCCTTTCCAATTCTCTTTGATTTCTCAAAAATTCTCAAATATTTTCTTCCGTACATCAATGGCGAACTTCAATCTCAACTCGATGACTTCATACTCTCATCTGCTAGGATCTTCAACTAAGATTCCTATGCTCATTCCGGAATACTATGATCAGTGGTCTGATTGTATGCAGGATTACTTGAATGGAATCGATGAAGAGCTTTGGTCTTGCATCTCAAGGAATGTTACTCTTTCGATGAATCTTCAACCAATTGGATCGTCATGTAGTACTACGAGTGTGGAAAATCAAACTGATCGAATGAAGAAACTTGAAAAACGATGCATAAGGGAGTTACGTGGTGCATTGCCTCCAGTTGTGTATAACTATGTCAGAAGTTGTACAACTGCAAAAGACATTTGGAATAATCTCAAAGAAAAGTTTCAAGGTAGCGAGAAGACCAAAATCAATTCAGTTAAGTAATGTTTGATTGAATTGAAGGATTTCAAGCAAAAAGATGGTGAAACGATTGAAAGTTACTATGATAGGCTGAACGGGCTGATTTACAAATGCAATCGTTATGGAATCACGAGGTCTGCCATGGAATTCAATCTCACCTTTGTTATGGGACTCCGTAAATAATGCAGGAGTGTTAGCATGATGGTGAAAAATCAACAGAGTTTCGACACATCTTCTTTGAATGATTTGTACAATCAACTGAAAACTCATGAAAGTGAAGTGAACGAAATGGAAGAAGAGTCGAAGCTTAGTCTGGGAGGTCCATTAGCACTTGTCTCTAAAGTTTCTGAAAAGGAATCATCGAAAAAGGTGATTCTGATGATGAAGAGGGGTTTATCATGAATTCGGATGATGAGATAATAGGTTTTTATTCAAACAACCGAGTCAAAAAGTTTTTCAAGAAACCGTTTAATTCAAAGGTGAAGCAAGGTGAGGGAAAAGGAAGTTTCGTGAATAAGGTTGCAGGAGAAGAGAAGAAGAAGTATGAGAAGAATGATGGGAAGGGTGCTGAGGAGAAGAAAGAGAAGAAACTGAAAGGAGATTCTGGTATGGATTGTCATTATTGCAATGGAGCAAATCATCTAGCAAATGATTTCATGCTTCGAAAGAAGGATGAGAAAAATAATAGAGTAAAGGATGAAGCATATTATGTGGAGAGATTGGAAGAGGTGCGTACGAAGGCGAAAATTTTGTGTTTAGTGGCTCAAGGTGACAGGAGAATGATGGCACATATCAAATTTGGTCTTCGGGTTCTGATGATGAAGAAATGCGTAATCCTACGCATGGAGCCATGTATGCGAAGCTAGCGGAAGATTCAGACGAAGAGGTAACGGGCCGATGCTTTATGTCAAAGTC